GCCAACTGGTCCCAGCCAGAGCAACTGGTCTGGTCTTTGGTTCGGGCCAAAAGAACTGGCTGACTAGCTGGTTGGCTGACTGGAGAGACCAAAGACTGCGGCCTCCTAAGGCAGTGCTGATTTATAGGGCCTAAGGCAGCTACACTGAATAAAATATTTATTAAAAATCATACTTGAATATAATTATTTAGAAACTATAAAGAGTTATCGCAATTTCTTTTAATATTAAGCCCTAAAATATTTAATATAATTATAATTCAAAGCTTGTGTTTGGTTAGAAAAACTATACTTTTGATTTAAAAATAATTAACTTTAGAAGCCCAAGGTGTTTTATTATTTTAAATGATTTACTTTTCAATTTTTTCTCTGCATGAGGCCTCTGTTTTTCGTTTCATGTTGTGCTTGACTGCAGTTTCTGGTTGAGGCTGTTGGGGCATGTATTGCTGGCTGCTTGGCTTCCTTATTGGGTGAAAATCGCGACTATGCGATGGGGAAGTCGGTTTTTGATTGCCAACAGATTGATTTGTCATTTTCTCATATATAGTTTCTAGTCATTGCAGATACAGATTGGAGATCACCCCCACAGAAGGCCACCCTACTGGAACTTTCGTCATCCATTCAGAATGCGGTGCCTTTGTTATGCATTCGGTGCATTGATCTAATGGCCATTGACAGGGCTGTTGACGACGCGACAACTGATAAATTATGAAATCAATAACAAAGCTGTAATAAGAGCGCGGACAAGGTTCATAGTTGGCATGCATAAGATACGCATACGCACTTTCCAGACTCCACACACTACACTCCCCACTCCTACATCCGCCCGCTGCAAGTGCCCCGTCCGGTAATTACAATCACAATCTGTCCACCGCCGCGATTGTCACATATGCAAATCGGAATCGATGCGGAATTTCCACAGAACGCCGTCAGCCAATTTCCATAGCTCTAGCAGGGTCTTTGATTGATAGCTTAGAATCAAAGGCAGTTGTTGTTCTGATGCTCTTCTAAAGGGTATATTGGCTCCTAAATAAACTTGAAATTTTCCAGAGTTGATCACTGGTAAATGGAAGTTTCCAATCCCACCATTAGTATGGTCAATCACGTTAGATAACCGAATATATAGGCCGGCTTTATTAACTGAAAATCATCTCTGTATCGCGGCTAGAGTATTTCCAGTTTCGATAACCAAAGCTAGTAGCCAAGATCGTTGTTTTTCTCGTCGCCGACTCTGTTTTCATAAATAATTTTGCGTAAGCTGCGCCAACACATGGTGAAAGATGCCAAGACTGCTTACGTGCCACAGAGCAGCATTCGAGCAACAGCAACATCAAGAGATACAGATACCGGAGGAGTATCTGCAAGATACGCGGCTGATGCGCAAGCAGGCCAATGACCGTTTGACCGCTGTGTGTAATGATCGACAGTCCGTCCATATGCTGAGTACTGGCCGGGCCCATCCATATGCAGATTCTTATGCACCGCTTCTAGCTCATATTGGTGCCATTAACGGAGACTGACCCGCCAGCTCACTTACCTAATATCCTTCCACTACCGTTCTTTCATTGAGTTTCGGCAATTGCCGTTGCCAGCCGAAAGTCCAGCGGAATGGCAAAGGGATTTGCATTTCAGCGTCACTGCCTCAGTGCGTCTGTTATGAACAGATCCGATCGGATTAGCATATTCAACAGCCCAATACCCAGGACCTATTAACATATTCGCCAGTCATTACAAGCGATGGGCCGCCCGGGTGGGTGTTTGGAAATCGAGGAAAAGTTCCATCAAAGTCACGTTTAGTTGATTTAATTCGTTGGCCAAATCTGGAGTAAAAGTTCACTATTTAATTTATACTGGTGCTGGAATTGTTTCCCCAAAAACACGTGGATGGCAACGATTCCTGGTAAAATAAGGCAGGTGAATAAAATGCTATTCCGAATCATATTGACATCAAAAATTAGAACATGCATGCAGCTGACAAGATCTTACCACGAAATCTAATCACCGATGTGGGTCATCCGGACCAAGTTTTCAGTTTACTGTTAACTTTGGCCACTTGGCCTGGCCCGATCGGAGCTTATTAAGTGTGTGAAGTGATTGGAGACAGTTAAGTGGAGATTGGCCTGGAGCAAGCCAGTTACCAATTGGCATTTTCTGGCCAAACTCTGGCCAAGAGCAAGTCCAAGCCCAAAAGCACACGAATGCTCAAACTGTCAACGCGGCAAGCGGCAACGGCAGCGACAGGCAACAATAACAAGTTTCTGGCATTGCAAATGCGATTTATGAAAAACAAACAACCCAAAAAAAATAAAAAAAATATAAATTTGCAAGAAAAACTGCAGTATTGCATGGCCAAGTCCAAGAGCAAGAAAAGTCAGCGGAAAAATACTGTTAAATGTGCACAAAACGAAATAAACAAGCAAATGGCCAAACGTCGGAACATTGACCCAAATTTTTAAAAAATATCCAAGACCGTTTGGAGGTTTAAGATTCATTCTTTTCGTTTTCAAGTTTTTTGTCTGGGATCTAGGCAAACATTGCATAAAAAAACGATAACAGCAGCCGTCGTCCTGGCCCCCAAAAATGAATCGATCAAATTACAAAGCAAATGCGGCAGGGAAAGTGACTGACTGGCTGATCAATGGGAAATTCGAAAGAGACGAGAGGGGGAAAACTAACTCACCGGCTGACTGACAGTTGTGCCAACAAATGTTGGATGTGGCACGTGGCGCATTTCGGAAAAACAAAAGGTGCAAAACGGGAAGGAAAATGAAAACCCAAACGATGCATAACGAATTCGTTAATAAAAAAGCAAAACTACAAGGAAAGTGAAAACTGAAAACTGAAAAGCGGAAGCGCCAAAATGCACCGCATCCGGGCACCACTCAGAAAGGTAAAATTTTAATGGGGATCCCCACATCCAGGTAATCCAAATAGATTAACGGCACTGCCGGGAAATTTACTCAAGGACCATTTGGAGGTAAAGCGGCTTTATTTTTCAAAATACACAAGCGTTAAGGAGATGTAATTTCTAGTCCTAAAAACTATAGTTTTTAAATGCGTATTTTTAAGTTTTAAAGAAATAATTCCACACTCGAGACCTATGATTTCAATAAAATTTAAAGGCCTAGGGCGATCATCTTACAAGCATCATCTCAAGGTGAGTCCCAACCCCAGGCCCGTGCCAAAGGGTTGCGACCCCCGCTCGTGCCAAGCAGCCGCCGCAGTATTTTTTTTGGTAACGTGCCGGAAGTCCTTCTGCCACTCCCGGCTGCCTTTCATACATATCTGAGTTTTTTACGTCGCTGTAATAAAACGAAAGGATTTATATTTCCTATTGTGCGACAGATGACACATCTTGTAATCTGCTCCTTCAGCTCGCCTTCTGTTGGTCTCAACAGCTGACTTGGACCCAGTGGCATGCCAATTTTCGGTTAAAAATACGAGAATTTTGATAATTTCTGCAACACTTCGATGCTGTTTTGTGCATTTTCATTCTTTATTTGCAGCTACCGATCTCTGGATCTCTGCTTTTGTGAGTGGACCTGCCTCCGGTGTCGCATTTCGCGGAAGCACCCGTCGATGGGTCGGCCGGCCTGCTGACTCATGCCGAGCGTTTATCCTTTTTATGAGTCGGCAGTTGCGGCTTAAGCCTTTTGAGCCGAGTCGAGATGGTCCGGCTTAGGCTACCGCAAATGTCACGTAAAGTGGGCAGTGGCCGTCGCGCCGCCGGCTCAAAGACCATTAATTTGGGACTTATGCCACATAAGGATATTAGCATTTTCGCAAGGATTTTCAGCGCCTTTGTTTGTCCAGTGGCGACGGTTAAGACACTGAGTTAACATCTCTATTTAAAGGACTACACTTGGAAAATAGAAAGACTTGAAGGGATTGGAAAGATCTATAGATATGAAGTCTAGATATTTTTTTTTTTCAATTTAAAGGAAGTTTCCTGACATGGCAAAAGATATATTAGAAAAATCAATAAGATAAGATAAATGCTTCACAATTTTTAATTTTTAGGAAACCGTTTAGAACCACCCGCTGAAGAGTCTGAAGTTCAAAGATTTATATAAATATTTCATAAAAAACCAACCATACTCATAAAATAAAAGAAATCTTATACATATAAATATATTATTAAATTTAAACTTATCGTTTTGAACAAGACATTATACAATACATTTTTATTTAAAATATTTTATGTTTTTTAGTAAGATTAAAATTTAGAATAAATTAAAATTCTCTTCAATAAAGATTCGGAATCAAAATTCTAGATAATTCTTTAAACTTCAGATTGTAGCAGTGCCCCTTTTGGCCCGGACTAACCCGATTTAGCCAAGTCATGGCCAGGAGATAAGCCTCAATTAGCTGCGGGCCAAAAAAAAAGAGGTGGAGTCTTCTGCCTCAGGATCGCAATCGGGGATTGTAAAACGGAGCACCAATGAGCAACAAGGACTACCTGGAGTCCCTGCACCCACACACTAGCACCCCACACACAGATACTGGTCACACATACACACACACTCACTGATCACGCACACAAAGGTAGGAGCATAACGAGGGCACTCGATCGTGTCGCAGTTCGAGTCAAACAGCTGTTTCGTGAATGAAATCCAGGTGGGTGTGAGTTTGTACCTTTAAGAAAGAGAAAGAGCCACAGCGAGTGGGGCGACCAGGGGGAGCAACAGAGAGCACACATCTCTCTACCTGGTAATATGAATGAAAGTACACTCTCTCTCGCTCTCCCCAGGCCGGGTAAGAGAAGTCGCAGGCTAAGAGCGGCGGAGCACCTGCCGTCTATCTTGCTCTTTTGCACTCGCAGCGACTGTCGAAGAGCAACTGAAAATCTGTGGAGCTGAGAGACACCAACAGACACCAATACACCATCAACTGAGACTGCTCGGGTAATGTCTGTGTGAAAAGCCGAAGCGACTTCGGCCCCCGGGGGCTACCTGGCCGTAGTATTTAATACTACCAACTCTACCAACCCAAATCATAAGATCGACAACGTTCGACGAGTTCAGATCATCAGATCATCAGCCAAAGCAAACAGAAGCGATCTCGCCAGCTCTATAATTCACAAGCAAACAAATTATAAAACAGTCGAAAAGTCCGCTGATTTTTCACGTGGAAAACCCTGAACGCGCCCGCTTCGGTTTCATAAGTTATTAAAAATCCAAATAATCAACAAACTGTTTAACAAAAAGCCTTTAATGGATTTTAAGTGTCAGTGACTCTTATATATAAAAACAACAAAAACCCAAAACACAGACAAACGTGGCCGTATAATCAGCCAAGAAACCCGACAACAACAACAGCAACTGGTGGTGATAATAAAAGAACTTACAACAACACCGCCGAGAACCAGTATAAAGTTCAATATAAAGTCGATTCCAAATTAAACAAAGGAGAATCGTCGGCAGAAGCAACAAAAACAAGACTTGGTTTTGTCATTCACGTATTTTTGGTAAATACACGGCATTCGAAATGGCAGCCTACTTGGATCCCACTGGCCAGTACTGAAGGAGTGACTGAAGCTCATCCACCAAGAACTCTTAGAAAATCTCTAAAGACAAGTAACTCATCAAGGACTTTCACAATGGCCGCCTACTTGGATCCCACTGGTCAATATTAAGGAAGAAAGAAACCGAGCTCACAAGTATACTCTTTCAAGAAGCAAGTTTAAAGTAAATCTCATCAGCATCATGTCTCTGGCTCTGGATCCCACTGGCACCTACTAAGCCAATCTCTGCGAAATACCAATTTGGCCACACCAAAGGGCTGAAAACAGAAACTCAATATTAAAATCAACCAAACCCCTCAAATCACACACCTCCACTGCAAAATGCTGGACCCCACAGGAACCTACAGGCGCCCCCGCGACTCGCAGGACACACGCCAGAAGCGGCGCCAGGACTGCCTGGACCCAACCGGGCAGTACTGAGCCAATTCAGTGACAACAACAGCCCCATTCAGCCTTTGCCTTATTCACAAATATTTTTTGGGCATGATTGGGGGAGCGCGCTGGTTGCGCGTTCGCGGCCGCGAGGAGACTTCCAGCTGCCGGCGAAGAAGAAAGCTGGGGGATTCCCCTCACCGATCGCTGCTAAATTTTGTATTTATGTAGTTTTTTTGTGTAGACCTTACCAGACCTATTATATTAATTATTTATTATTATCATATGATTTAAATTAAATATTTGTTCATTACTGTTCACAAAAAACCACAGAAGCACACACATATCCTATATTATCACACCATATATGTTATATATATTATATATTCATGTAATTGTTTCTCGAAGATGAAAGAAATTATGCAAAGAGTATTACATTTAGTGTCATATTTCCCGAGCAAATCTTCATTTGTTTAAATTATAATTTTTATTTATTTGCCAACTATTTGTGAAATGTTCATTTTAGCTACGTTTTCTCTTTGACTATTTTGTTGTATGTACATTTCGCCTGAGAAAATGCCGAGCTGAGAAAATCATTCGGAGCAAGAAGAAAATTTGTTTAGATTTTAAGCATATTAAGCTATTTATATGTCTACACACCTTCGACAAACATCCAGACACCCATACAAAAGCCAACTCACACCCATAAAAATATAATATTAAACGAAAACCATATTTAAAACTGAAAACTTTTGAGTGCATTTTTCCTTTTTCCACTGGACATCTTCTATTCGGACCAGCGCCCAAGCCACAGGCGCACAAAATTGTCGCATTAAATTACAAGATTTTCCAGATACACAGATACTCCGACACACACACTCCGGCACTTGGCGACAGATACAGATACAGGCATCTGATCTCTGGGGGCTCTGCCGCAGACAAATTGCTGCCGGGGGGAGCATAAAATATGATTTTCCAAACGGCCAGCGCATATTTGATGAATCTGTGGGCATTAATTAATGTCACTGGGCGGTCGCCGCCGGCCAAGCTGCTGGAAAATGATCAATAAAAATTGAAAAGCCCCCGGATGGGGTAGGAGCCAAAAAAACAAAAAAAAAACTTCAGATATCAAACGCCAAAGAGCGCAATATCGCAAACAATGCTAATGCGGAAGTAAAAGTTCAATGTTCGTTTGTGCTCCACAAGTGATTAGGTCAATAATAGCAAAACAACAACAACCTCTCAGAACGCCGATTGCAATTGCATTCTGAGAGCGGTTAGGCTAAGAGAGAGCTGAGCTTTTGGCCTCGTGTCGACTTTTCCGACCAGGTGGTGGTGCGGTAAGAGAGAAAAACTCGAAGAGCACGAGAAAAACAGAGAGGCAGAGATCGTGCAATCGATGCGGATATGCGGAGCGAAAAGCGTGCGCTATTAATAGATACTCGCATATTAGCTTTTCAGTATGAAGTTCAGGGAAATCCACTTGCGGCAACGCGGCAGCGCGACAGCTGATCGCCAAGGTCCGGTGACGTCGCCTAACGGAAAGCTTTCCCACGCCCCCACCCCCACCCACTGATCGGTCCCAGCCACCGTTCAGATCCACCTCCTCGTCCCAGACAGCCAGTGATTGCATTGAAAATGCAATTAAGCGATCATCCGTTCAGTTCCGAGTGCAATCAGATCTTCCCAGGCCCCAGCACACGCGCTGACCCAGTTAACTTGTTGTTGCCAGATATTCATTCATATCGCTTTCAGCCACAGACTCTCGGCCAACACATACTGCCCCGAAAATAAGGTAGAGGGCTAAGCGGAAAGAAAGTTAGACGAAGCCTTAAATACCCTTGAAATTGGCCTGTAATCGAAAAATATATCTTTATATTAAAATCCACTTTAGTAACATAAATTATACATTAAGTTTATAGTTTTTTTTAGGAAAACTCAGTTTTTAAAGAAAATATTTATACAAGAAAAAAGTAATGATACTGCAAAACTTCAAGTCTATTTAGGGATCTTACAATTATTACCCTTTTTGGATTGGATAAGACTTCCAGTTCTGAAAGGACCTACAATTTCTTTACCTTCCAGAAAAAACACCTCCACCTCATGGTATAGGGTATCCAAATAAAACCAAAAGCCAAAAACCGATTCCGCATAACCGCAAGCAGAACTTTCTAAGTGAAAGTTGGCCCGGGATGAAGCTACTAGAAAATACTGCCAGTGCCTTCGACTTTTAGTCAGTCATTCAGAGTGCGACGGGATGACAGCCCCTCCACTACCACTATCACTACCGATACCGCTACCTCCCCCATTTCCCTTTCGCTCCTGGTACGCAACCTCGTCCCACAAGCCCCACACATGATCACACACACACACACACATGGCGACCGTATAACTTGACCTACATTTCTGCAAGACAATAACAACGAAAAAAGGCAACAAAAACATATACAAAACAAATTTATACACCACACACACATACACACACCATCGCACACTCGAGAGCTGAGAAAAGAAAAGGCAAGAAATTTCCAACGGTACATGAGCTGATGCCTGGGACTGGGGCCTGGACTGGGTATGGGCCTGGGACTGGGCCTGGGACTGATTCAATGTTTATATGAATCGGCAGGGCTTCACAGGCCGCTCTGGTGCTTTCAAAAAATTATTATCGTAAAATTGATTTCATTGAAGTCGAGTCGTCGAGTCGCCGTCTTCGTCATCGGCTTGTCCGAAGCTTTGCACGCCTCTCGTGGCTCCCTTAGCTCCACACCTACATACATACATGCCCATACCCACTACTATATGGTATATCTTTTTGGTACACTTCGTTTATGTATTTTGATAATTAGGCGAAAGGTGAATAAACTCATTGGCTCGATGCCGCTGCCGCTGCCTCAGCCGTGTCTTTAATTTACACATTTTGGTAAAAGAAATCGAGTCAGCAGACTGCAGCCCGCGGATCGGTGGTTCCGCATTGGAAAACGCTAGAAGACACCACAAATAGAAAGCGACAGTAGATGTCAAATCAATCTGGGACAAAGATCTTACATTTTCTCGAAAAGTCTGTGGGGGAATCTAGGTTATAGTCAAAATAACAAGTTATTATTCAAATAATAAAATATTATATGAAGATGATGAAATTTAAAAACCATATTACAGAATTTAAGTTATAAAATTCATTGAATTATTTGCAAGGATATCATGGCTTTAAAACTGAAATTAAATGTAGCATATCTTTTAGGGGCTTGGATCTTCTTCAAAGAAAATCCTAAGAACAATAGAAAAAAAAACTTTATTTCTACAACAACACATGGAAGCTGTGTAAGCTTTATACATAAAATCTTTCCATTCAAAAACACAATAATTGCATTCGAGTAAAATCCATGGGCCGCCATATCAATAAAAAAAAGCTTCTCTTTCACCGGTGTTTTTCCCTGGGCCAAATAACAACTGAAACCGTAAGATAAACAACAAACAACACTCTCACTGCTTTTTGGGGCAACTCGAAAAAGCGGAAAAGGTCAATGACATGGTCCAATTTCCAGAAGACTGTCGCTGTGGAGCATCTGCGGATGAGTCTTCCTCCACTTTCCGTTCCGATCGTGCGTTGTTTTCAGTGTAAACAAACAAACGGCACCCCAATGAAGACGACAACGACAGCGTCAAGAGCAATGAAACGAACGGCTTGAAACGGCAGCGAAAACAAATTCAATTCACTTTCTATTCCAATGAAAAATCGCTCAAAGCTCTGGCGGCTCGAAAAAAAATAAAAGTAAAAATCAACAACAGTAACAACGAAAGTGGTAGACCAACGTTAGCAACTTTGGTCTTGGTCTTGGTCATACAATCCATTGATCTTCAGGCGCTTTCAAGTGGGGTAAACAACGGAGCACGCCTCATCAGCAGCAGAAACATCTACAAAAACAAGATCCACACTGGGAGAAATTATTTTAAGAACTGTTTGAACCAAAAATGTTTATAAAAAGCAAATAGATTTAAAAAGAGGTAATAAAATATGTTCTAAGAGAGTATAGAAAAAGGATATATAGAGCTAGTCTAGTTAGAAACTCCCCACCCATTATTTTTCTCTGTGTATAATTTGAAAGCGAGTCCAAAACGTCTGATGTTGTTGGTTTTTGGCTTTAACGGTTTCCGTTTTTTGTGTGTTGGTTGTTATTTGTTTCTTCGACCAGCAGCACCAACAGCAACACCAACAACCTTAGCAACATCCCCAGCAGCACCAACAGCCACAATTGTTGTTGTTGTTCATTTGAATATCTAGTGAAAATTTCACCCAGACAAGTGCCTTTTGTTATATATTCAGTTTCGGTTTCATCTCTCTGGGTACCTTCCAAAATATGAGAGTTTCTCCTAATTTGCAAATATTTTTTTCTTCGCGGGGTATTTTTTTTTTTGGCACAACCTATTAACAAAAAGGAAAAATATTTGGAATACTTTTTAGTGGTCGACGCATAGTTTTATGACTATTCACGTGCCAAATGTTACATTTCGGCTTAATCGGGCATTAGTCATAAGTGGATTGTCTTTGATTCACCACAGGGCGTATACGCAATATTCAGGCAAAATGGGTCGCTCGTCTTATAAAGCATAAAGCATTAGCGCAAATGGGGGTTTGGGCTTTTCCAGGTACTCGACACAGACTTTGGCCGATGGCCAAGGCAAGAACCCTTTGGGCCAGAAAGACTTAATAGGCCAACAGGCCAAAATATGCACCGCGGAGCACGTACTACGAAAAAAAAATGGTAAAATAAAACGAGGAAAAAAGGCACAGAATGGAAAAGATGGAAAAGCGCAGAATGAAAAGTGAAAAGTTAGCCAGCAAGCAGGCACTCCGTCCGCGTTTATTGTTGGCCGTCTTGGACTTGGTTTTGCCAATTGCAAATTACGTGCCATAAAAGTCAACTAACTGGCGTTGGTGTGGGCAGTTGTGCCCTCACCTTTCGCTGCCCCGACGCCGCTTCATTCACCCACTCACAGCCAGTCGCCTGTGCAAACTCGCACTTTCACGTCTAATGCCAAAACACGTTGCAATTTTCATGGCTTGGCACTGACTTTAGGCCTGTTGGCCAAGTCCAAGTTAACCAATTGCGCAGCCGCCATTCAGCCAGTCGCAAAATATTCAGCCAGAGTTG